ACTAGCGCACTCGGCGTAGCTTGGGATCAACGTCGTGATGTGCTACTGCTTGAACTCAAACCCAAAAAATTGTATTCAACAGCCACAAAGAGGACTATTCTCTCGACTGCCTCGTCTCTCCATTAGGATTGCTGGCACCAATCATAATCGTCTCGAATATCATCGTAAAACTCGCCTGAATCTGTTCCGCAATCACTTCCACAAGCATGGAGAAATTCCGCAACGTCTCTCAAAGAATTACCGTCGATTTCAGTAACCCATTTTTGCATGCAACCTGAGAAATCACAGAAATACAACTACACGCTTTCTGTGTCGCATCAATTCGTGCTTACGGTTGTTGCGTGTATGTGCGTTCCACGGACTCGTATGGCAATGTCGAGGTTCCAGGAAACAAATAGATTTAAAAAGCAATCTGAAATTTTTCAGCCCCTTTATAGATGACTCTTCTGGGTACGAGGTCATCAAGGTTGGCGGCAGACTCGAGCATGCTGATATCCTCTCTCGTCAAAGGCACCCTTTACTCGTTCCCAAGGAATCGCAATTTGTCTATAATTATGTTCGGCATCTAAACTTGTGCAATTTCCATGACCAAAGGCATTAGTTGGACTGCTGCGGCTTCAATTCTGGGTCGTACACGCAAGAGCTTTAGCGCGCAGCATTGTTCATTCTTGTATACACTGTGTCGGATATCGTCCAACTCTACTTCGTCGTGTCATGGGTTACCTGAGCCATTTCGCCACGGCGGAGTCGACTTCTGCGGTCCAGTAAACACCTATCTTCGAATACGTGGCAAGGGTCCCATAATATCCAATGTCGCCAATTTGTCTGCATGGCCGTAAAGGCTGTTCACATTGAAATCGTGTCAGATCTTTCAACGAATAAGTTTTTGGAATTATTGAAACGCATGGTTGCCCATCGTGGACCAGTATCGCACATCTATTGTGACAACGCCACAAATTTTGTAGGAGCATCCAACAAGCTACTTGAAGCGGTTCATGTTCAACACTAGCACTCAAGATGCTATCCTTTCATATTGTTCCTCTCAAGAAATAACCTTTCATTACATTCCATACAGGGCTCCACACTTTTGCGGTCTGTGAGAGGCTGCTGTCAAGAGCTGTCAAGGTGTGCTGGTGCGTAGCCTCGCTAACACCCGGTTCGCCTTTGAGGAGCTGAGCACCGCAATCGTTTAGATAGAAGCAGTACTCGCCCGCTGACACCGCTATAATTTGATCCCAACGACTAGCGCTGTCACTGCAGGACACTTTCTAAATAGAGAAGAACCGCGCGCTCTGCCCAAGCGTGAGATTATCACCAACAACATCTCAAACTTGGATCGTTACGAGCAGATCACAGCTGTTAAACAGCAGTTCCAGCGCCGTTGGTCTGCAGAGTATGCGAACGAACTTAGAACTAAGACAAAGTGGACTTCGGCATCCCCAAATTTCACGGATGGCTCTATGGTCATCATACATGAGGACAACACAGCCATTGCACTGGAAATTAGGGCGTGTTGAGTCGGTTGTGACTGGCAAGGATAACCGTTTTCGTGTCGCGCATATTCCTGCTGCTTCCGGACTCCGTTGCCGTCCAGTTCATAAGCTGGCTGTTCTACCTGTCTCTTGAAAGATCATTCTTTCAAGGCGGCCGGGATGTTCTTATGGTATCTATAGCAATGTCAATAGAAGGTTATGTTAAGACCATGCTAACTATCTTCTATTTTAATGCCATAAGCACTCAGACGCGTGTACGAAGTCTCGCTCTCTTTCGAACTCTGTAACTGCTCGGTCCCTTTAATATTAAGTTATGTAAAGAAATCAGTGCTGTAAGCATCATCTTAGAAGTCAGTCGTGTTGCTCATCAGTTTGTTAAACCTTTATTAAAACTTCATACCATCCACACACGCCCACTTGAGATTAGATTCTTAAAAGGTCAAAAAACCGCTTTTGATCCAACAAACATTGTAATTGCGATTGTATTGTGTTCTGTGCTGCTATTTAAATTCGTTTTTTTCTTATTGCCACATGATTATTGGTGTGGATGTTAAATAGAGGCGGTGGCATGTGGTGTGGTCTGTGGCAAGTTCGAGCCCTGCCGAGGAAACTATTTTTTTTTTTTTTTTGGCTGCTGTGGCTGTTTAGTGAAGACGGCGGCAATTAGTGCAGTTAGTTGCGAGTTCGAACCCTACCAAGGGAAATTTTGTTTTTAATTTATCTTTATTACTACAAATGAGTGCGTAGCGCGAACTGCATTTGGTGTTGGAATAAGAGGGTTCAGGATATCCCCTAGTTACCGACTAGAACCTCTAATTTGTTTTTAATTGTGTGTGTTTTCAGTTTCGTCTAATATTCTGGCGGGGATTTTTCTTCTGTCTTTTCCTGTTTTTTTATTGCAATTCGTCGCCCTTCATCAACGAAGCCGCTTTTGAAGATGGATATTGCGTTCATAAGTTTCATAATACCTTGTTTTTTAGTGGTAAATAAAAAATATCTTTATTTGAGGGAAGATATAACCATTTTTCAGATAAACAAGTAGGAGGTTCTAGTCGGGAGCTCCTGACTAAGGGATATCCTGAACCCTCTTCTCCCAACATCAAATGTAATTTGTGCAACGCGCTCGTTTTAAGTAATAAACATAAATATAAAAAAAATTTCCCTTGGCAAGGTTCAAACTCGCACTGACCGCATTGCTTGCTGATGACTCTACTCAACAGCCACACCGGCAAAAAAAAAAAATAATACTTTCCCCGGTAGGGCTCGATCTCGCGACAGACCGCATCTCTTGCTATGCTTCTACTCAACAGCCACACAAATAATTCAGAATTATTGAGAAAAAAAATAAAATTGCATCACAGAAAACAATCGCAATTGCAATGCTGTTGATAGAATTCGAAGCAAACGAACATGCATATGTGTTTGTGTACATTTATCCAGAAATACTTGAAATTTGCGCTGCCCCATCCAATTGCTCAGTAACTTTTGGGTTTTTCTTAACCGATCTTAATGAAATATTCTACAGTATACCTTATTGTACCATAGAATATTAGTGTGATCTCAAAAAGTCAATTGCATTTAAATTGTGGCTTAAATTGGTTGGCAATATAAGTTTGGTTATTAACTTGATTTATAGCTCTGCGGTGGTAGCGGAGAGGTGGCGATGGGTATAAAATTAAAGATACTGGATATGTGTATACGATTCTAGAAATAACATATCAAGTTTGATGACTCTAGCTCTTCTTATTTACCAACATTGCTAAAATCAAACAGGATGTCGATGTCGATTTTTGTCGAACAGACGGACGGACAGAAACACGGACATGGCTAGATCGACTCGGCTATTGATGCTGATCAAGAATATATATACTTTATGGGGTCGGAGCTGCTTCCTTCTACCTGTGACATACATTTGCATTTTGCACAAAAACAATATACCCTTTTACCCATTTTTAATGGGTTCGGTGTATAAAAAATAATGGTGCTCTACTCGATAGTGCCGGCGAGAGGATACCCTGAACTTTATTCAACCAGTTAACGATAAATTGGCACTGGACTCAATGTATCTCCAAAGACAATATTAACACTAAGATGAGTAACGCCACAAAATTCTACTATGCAGCTTGATTTTTTTAAAATTGAGAACGAAAACGATTTCGAAAAAGATAAAAATAGAATGTACTCTCAAGAAATTATGTTTGTATGCGTGTGAATATACATACATCAAAGCATAGTTGAATGTGTTGTTATCAAAGTCTCTGGCTGGCAAAGAAATAGATTTTCTTAGTTTTCTACCGCTGATCATGACCCAAATTTGTATTGAATTATGAATGCATGTTGTGTACTGAGGCTCCGTAGAAAATATGTATTTATAGTCGATGCAAATATTTATGTAATTATTTTACATTAAAGTATTAAATAAAAAAATTTATTTTTAAATAATACAAATTAAATTGAGAAATAAAAGTGATAATTTGTGGTTTTTAAAGATTAATTTAATTAATTTTTTTTGATATAATTATATTTTATTCGAATTAAATAGTACAAATTCGTCGCTCGAATTAGCTACCGATGCGAAATCGGTACCTAGGCAACACCGCGAGGCGGCCATTATATTTATAATGGGGTCATAACCTAATATGACCGTCGAGGCGACTTGAAATGCTTTAATTTCTTAAATTAAAATATTTCCAAATTTCCCAACAATGTTGTTTTATTATAGTAGTTCCTTCTTTTAGATGTTGTAACATCTTTATGTTTAACTGGAGCAGTGAATAACCCACATATACATATTTTTATGTATTTATGCATGCATAATTTACACATGCAAACAGGAGCTTGCACGCTGTTGGCTGAGACAATAACTTCTCTCGACCATACACTGTCCAAAAACAAAAGTGAAACCAATCTGTGTGTGCTATTTTCTTAACACAGTTATTGCACAAGAAGCGCCTTCTGTCCAAATTATTTTTTTTCTGTAAAATTTATATATATCATTTAAATAAAGCATGCATTTCATGGGTAAAGCAAAGATACTTTGCGCCGAGCGTAAGTTTAAAACTTCTCTCAATGTACTTCGAAATCAAAGCGACGCAAAGTACCATCGACTTTGCTGAAGGCAGATTGGCGACTAACTTCGTTGCTCGAGTCAGCATCAGCAAGCCGCGACTTCGGCATTCGTTCGTCTGGTTTTTAGAGAACGCACAGACACTCGGCAGGCATGTCGTGCGAAGCCTCAAGGGCCAGGTGAAAGGCCAGGCGAGGCGTCGCATTTAAATGTATGGGGGTTACTCATTTTAGTGTTTATATTGTTTTTGGTATCTCCATTTCACATATTCTCGACCTAAGACTTTTTACTTTGTAATGGAGAGTGCCACAAAAAAAGTAATACTCTTTTTTTAAATTTATCCATATGTACATGTAATGATGTGTCTTTAATTTTAGCAGGCCATGATTTTTGCCTGCGGATTTAATAACTACACATTTAATCAATAATAAATATTTTAGGTGCTGCAGGAGTACTTGTCGGCCACCCTTTCGATACAGTTAAAGTTCATTTGCAAACTGATGACCCTAAGAATCCAAAATATAAAGGAACAATTCACTGTTTAAAAACAATATTATTGTTAGATAATATTCGTGGCTTGTATCGGGGAATCAGCAGTCCAATGATGGGAATCGGTTTAGTAAACGCAGTAGTGTTTGGAGTTTATGGAAACGTACAGAGATTATCTGATAACCCAAATTCTTTAATGTCACACTTTTGGGCTGGAGCCACTGCTGGTATAGCACAGGGCTTTATATGTTCCCCCATGGAGTTAGCGAAAACACGATTGCAATTGTCGAAACAGATCGACAGCCAGCATAAATTTAAAGGACCTATTGATTGTTTGCTTTACATACATCGAACAGAAGGTTTCAAAGGCACGTTTAAAGGACTTACAGCAACAATACTTAGGGATATTCCAGGTAAAAGAGAATCTTATATAATTACCAACCTAGTTATGGAATAATAACTACATTTTTATTTATTTTTTGTAAGGTTTTGCCAGCTACTTCGTTTCATACGAATATTTAATGCAGCTTAAAGATAAACCCAATGTACCCTATATTCTTATGGCAGGAGGCTGTGCAGGAATATCATCATGGTTAGCCTGCTACCCCATCGATGTCGTCAAAACACATTTGCAAGCAGATGCCCTTGGAAAACATGCTCTATATAATGGGTTCGTTGACTGTGCAGTAAAAAATTATGAAAGGGAGGGCATAACGTTTTTTTTTCGCGGACTGAATTCGACATTATTACGAGCGTTTCCAATGAATGCAGCATGCTTTTTTGTGGTTGCATGGATATTAGATTTTTGTAAGAAAAATGGAATCGATATGATTAGACATTCAAAACAATCTCTAAATATTGTTAATTTGGAAAACTGGAGTCAAGCCTCTGTTCAAAACGAACTAGGCACGGATGATGAACTAGTCCGAAAAATAATTTCGGAGAATGAATTAGAGCTTCGTGAATCCACACATGAAACCGTTAATAGGAAACTTTTAGATTATTATCCAAGTGACCAAGTATACGAAAGTAACATGCAAAGCGCGCAATTAAAAGTTAAAAATAGTTCAGATCAATCATAATTTTAATTTATTATAAATAAATAAAAAAAACTCAAAATAAAATAAATTTCAAATTTCAGCTTTTATCACCTCTGAACCACAAGCCAACATATGTTGCTTGGTTAGTCTCTGAATCCATTGAAAATGAGTAAAAAGGGCTTATTATTTTTGAGAAAATGTATGTTAAAAGTAGAAGGCAGCATATTCGCACCATAAAATATATATTCTTGATAAGCATATAATAGTCGAGTCGATCTAGCCATGTCCGTTTGTCTGTCCGTCCGACTGTCTCCGCGTGTTCGTCCGTATTTAGGAACGCGATCTTATCAAAACCTTTAAGAGCTAAATATTTGTGCCCGGTCAGTACGAGATTTTTCCTATAATCGATAAGTTATAATTTTTCTATACAAATAATATATTTTTATGTCCTGCCACTTTATTTATTTAATTTTCGATGAAAATGAATTTGTATTATGGCTGAGATGGTAGTAAATAGCGCAGTCAGTCTTTTTTTCGAGCTGAAAGCGCTCTCGCTTTGGTGTTGATAAAAAAGGGTCGAGGGTATCCCCTACCCGGGATCTCCCGACTAGAGTTTGTTCATACTACTTTTTTCGCCTACCCGAACCCTGTTTGTTATAACTGTCGTCTTGCTATCCTCTTTAACTATTTTTAATTTATATGATAATTTTGAACGTAATTTTTTGTTAGCCTTTCCAAATATTTCTTGTCCTGGTGTACAATTGTAATACCTTGTATGTTTTTGCATGTCTGTCTTCTGCCAAAATTTCTCAAATTTTTCTGAGTATGTTGTAACGTTTCTACAAAAAATACTTATAAAAAAAAATAATGGATTTGTTCCTCATAATCATTATAACTGAGGGTTGAGAGGAATATCTACCTGGCCATTGCTTTTGTTAGCATGACTCTCCAAAATTGTTGTTCCTGGTTTATATAAAGGTTACTAGTGCAGAATTTAACAATTTTTCGTATCGACTACTACAATTTAAGAAACGCCATAGTAAAAAAGCAATTCGTGTAGAGGTTTTTTTATATCTGCCTTATATTTAATAGGTGTTTTCTGTGCCAATTTAAAAAACGGGTTTATTGCCGTCAAATCAAAAATATTGTCGGTTAAATAATATTAATGATCCGGATATGCCCTGGATATTCGGGAAACAGAGTTTCTTTAATTTCTGAATAAGTTAGATGTCTGTCGTATTGTTCTTCCTTGCACCTTTGGCATTGTATTACTAACATACTTAACGTGGCGCTGCGCCCTAGGGATTTTGAGAATTGCTCCGTCTTATTTTGTTTCATTGGTCAAATCTTTACATTACTCTAAATAAATATAAAGTGCGTCGGGTAGAGATGCAGTAATTGGTTCATTATTTCTACTGATGTAAATATTTCATTTATTACAAAAGGGCTTAAGTATCTTTGAAATGTCAGGACGGAAATATCAAATCTGTATTTGTCTTTGTCTGTTTTATTAATGAATATCTGTTTTTATACCCTGAACCCATTAAAAATGGGTATAAGGGTATATTGTATTTGTGCAAAATCCAAATGTATGTAACAGGCAGAAGGAAGCATCTCCGACCCCATAAAGTATATATATTCTTGATCAGCACCAATAGCCGAGTCGATCTAGCCATGTCCGTCTGTCTGTCCGTCCGTCTGTCCGTCCGTCCGTATGTATGAGCCAAAGGATCTCAGAACCTTTAAGAGCTAGAGACTTGAAATTTTAGATGTAGATGCTCCTAGTTCCCGCGCAGATCGAGTTTGTTTCCGATAATCGATAACTTACTCCAAGCAATCGATAAAAATCGATATCTACATCTTGTTTTTTTTAGCAAATTGGGTAAATAATAAGAGCTAGAGCACCAAACATGATATGTTGCTTCTAGAATATTATAGATATTTCAAGTAATCTTTCATTTCATACCTATCGCCACCTCCCCGCTACCACCACAGACCTATAAATCAAGTTAATAACCCAACCTTTATTTCCAACCAATTTAAACCACAATTTAAATGCAATTGACTTTTTCAGAATACACAAATATTCTATGGTACAATAAGTTATACTGTAGAAAATTTCATAAAGATCTGTTAAGAAAAACCAAAGTTATATGCAACTGCGCAATTGAATGGGGCAGCAGCTTTAAGAATTTCTGTATACATGTACACACCCACATTCATGCGCGTCTGCTTCGCATTCTAATAGCATGGTAATTGCATCTTTTTTTTGTAATGTTATTTTAGTTCCTTTTTTTATCATAAGTACTTAATTGTTGGTGTGGCTGCTGAGTAGAGGCATAGCAAGTGGTGCGGTCTGTCGCGAGTTCGAGCCCTACCGGGGAAAGTATTATTTTTTTTTTTTTTGCTGGTGTGGCTGTTGAGTGTAGTCGACAGTAAGTAATGCGGTCAGTTGCAAATTCTAGCCCTGCCAAGGGAACTTTTTTTTATTAATTTATTTGGTGTTGGAATAAGAGGGTTCAGGGTATCCCCTAGTCGAGAGCTCCCGACTAGAATCTCTTACTTGTTTGTTTTATTAATTGGGACCTCAATGTTAGGGATCAGATCGTGGTTTAAAATCTCTCTGCGCTGTGTTGGGTAGAAGCACTAACCATACAATGCATAGATACACCAAACAGCGTTCTCATCGTATCAAGATTCATCGCAACGAGCGAGCCCCATGGGTGTCTGAGACCATTTTAGTGTGCCCAGATAGAAAGACTGCTGAGAGTGGCATCCGAACGCCGGCCTCGAAAGCCGAACGTTCAGTATGAAGCCGCATCTCGCTATTGGTACCACAGGCACAAAAGGCACACTTCGCAATTGCGTAATTTTGCGAAGTATGGTTTCCAACTTATTCTACCCGTCCAATTCCAACCACCAAGAGACTGTGTTAGGAGTGATTCATAAAAATTACGACTAAGGCCTTTATGGCAAAGTAATTCATGAGCGCTTTTAAAACCCAAATTATAGCCAAAATTTCATTTACATTGGTTGCATAATTTGAAAGGAGGGACATTGGTTGCTTTTTTGTCTAATTAGCATTTTATATTGGCTTCTTGCAGAGCTTGCAAATTTTCGGCATGCGACTTACTATCTTTGATAAAGATAATGTCATATATATAAATGAAACATATCTTACTGATATGATCATCTGGAATATCGAGGGAACATTTTTGAAACCGAATGAGAGTCCTGTAAACTCATATTTGTCAAAAGAGAATGTAATTTTTTAGATATCCGATTCTTAAAAGAATTTGGTGGAGTCCACTTTTATAAAACAGCTTTGAGGTAGTAAATATGTTTATTGAATTTAAATTTATATAATCAAAAACCATTCCATATATATTTTTATTTGAAGCATTGGGTTTTCGATACAATTCATACAGGTGAGTTATAGGGTAAATGACCGGATTATTTACTTCCTCTCTAAGAGACTTTGGGATATGACAAAAAAAATATATATACGAGGTCTGCAAAGAGCTTTTGGTATCTGTCAACTAAACCATCTAATTTTCTTGTTCTTTCTTTTGTCAAGGGGATGTTTTGATAATTTGGTTACATTTGTATTACTTTCGAATACCGCACCTAGTTTCTTTCAACTTTCGTTTGACTCAATAGTTTTTTGCGTGGGTGAAAATATAAACAAGAAAAAGGCTCTCGTCAGGAGTTCTCGACTAGGGGAAACTCACCCTTCAACACTGTTCGCGCTACGAGCTCATTGGCCTTAGCAGTATTATAAAAACAAATAAAAATTCCCCAAATAGTACTCGAATCCGTACCGACCACCGCAATACTATTCATCCCCTCTACTCGAAATCCATACCAACAATTCATTGACGCTGAGCACAGAACAGAATACAATATAATCGCAATTGCAATGCTGTTGATAGAATTCAATAAAGACGCGAATAAATGTGTGTGTAAATGTATACAGAAATTCTTGTGCTTTGCGGTCACTGCCTCCGACACGTGGGCAGCCAATATACCACACATTTTCTTTTACTAATTTTGTATTCCCAAACCGATCTTAAGTAAATTTTCCATAGTAGACACTAGTAGATATTCTCGAATATTATTTGCATTAAAATTGTGTGTTGTGAGAGATACTTGATATTGTATAGTTAGGTGACCCTAGCTCTTATGAATTATGAGCTTTGCTGAAAAAAACATGATTTTGATTTAATTTTTTTTTGTGGTTTTTTTTATATATGTTTATTGTATTGAATAAAAAAAAAAAGGATCTTCTCTTGAGCCTCCTGACTACACACCTCCCAGCGAGGTCACTTGCTACCCGGTTACAGTATCGCTGCAAGCGTTTGTTGTATCGGTAGGCGAATGCTTCGACTTGGCTGTTTATTTGAGGACTCTGTGCCAGGTAGAATTTCTGACGTACCAGTCAGCACCGGTCATTCGGCGCAAAGCAAAGTATTGGAGTGCCCGAATCCGTCTTCGACTTGTACGAGATGCAATTCCCAAAACCTGAATACCGTATCTCCAAGTTGGCGACACCACGACGTTGTGAACTGACCGTTTGCAGCAAAGTGGCAATGGGTTGTTGGGGCTTAGTAGTCATTGGTGATCAGGAAGAATGACCATTTGATCCATAAGCCTAGCAAGTCGGGGGGCAATCAGTCTTTCCCAAACTTTCGACAAGGAAGGCAGGAGACTGATCGGCCGATATGAATCTGGGGCATATTCCGGCTTGCCCGACTTATGGATCATATGGATCTTCGCTAATTTCCACTGGGCAGGAAAGTGTTGCGTTCGTAATATGGCGTTGAAGATCAACGTTATAAAAAGGCATTCGCGCGCATTGCCAGGGCCTTTAGAGTGGTGTGGCATATGCCATCATGGCTCGGTGCGTTAGCCCTGGGAAGGGCTTTGACGACGTTGATCACCTCCTCCACGCGGATTGGGCCGATAGGTGGTGACATCTGTAGCGGAGTCTCCAACGCTCGAGTAGGCTCTTCTGGGGAGGCCAAATTAAAAAATGTGAATCGTTCCTCCAGATGGCTG